TTTAGCCTTGACACTTTGATACTTTAGTTCTCTAGTCTTATATCGTTTCATAACTGTTTGTGTTTTTGAGACTTGAAGTTGGTCGTTTTGAAAGTGATTGCCACTGTAACAAGTGAGTTGTCAGAAATTTCCTCTAGATATTTTGGTTTCTAGGCAAAATAAGGATTCAATCTACGGGGTGTATTAGCACAAGCGCGCTCACGCGATTTCTCGGGTCTTCATTCACAGTTTAATTTCCTGTCATCTTGTCGTCATCCAAAGTTTTTTACCTGCGGTACCTTCGATACGCGGGTCTCAAGAGTGTTGAGCAGTTAGTTTTTGCTCTTGGAAAACAATGTACGTAGGGAGGAGCTGCTAATTTTATGGAAATCCTTTTCCTGTACGGTGATGAAAAAGGAAATCCAGTAAGGAAACCCAAGTTTGTACAGTAAATGAGCCGTGGGTCCTGCCTCGAACGAGCGGTTATGTTGCAAGCTACCTTGCCTAAGGTCTTCTTATGCCTTGTATGTGTGGCATTCTCGTTCATGTATCGGGATGCAGAGACTTTCTGGGCATTCACGAGTGCAGATCATTCTGAACATTATGTTAAATTTAGTCAATGAAAACCAGTCTTTTAACTTGTACCTGATAGGGCAGGGTTGGTCACTTGTTTGTTTGACCACTTAATTTATTGTCAATTAGTCTAGCAACTAACTAAGTTTATGCTTAAAGTCACAGTTTACGATGATTTTGAGGTGCCACTATTTAGTCCAAAAGCAGAAGTATAAGTTGGGAATAGTTCATCTGTAGTGAAGAAAGCGAGAAAAATCGCAGATTTCGAAGAAAACACGGCTCCTTGAAAGTGAGGAGAATAGGTGTTGGATGAGATTACCATGATTACCATGATGACATGGAAGGATATTTGGACGAGGTTTCAGTTGTTGCAATCGCGTAAAGAGCTGGCTACATCTAGCCAGGTCTGTACTGAACTGTCTTTTAGTGTCACTGTTTGTCCTTGGAAGTTGTTTGAACTCATTGCATGGGTTCCCTTGTAATCGACGCAACTTCTTCAATGCTTGTGAAACTCGTCCGAGGGTACACGCGGTACAATCTTTGAGCCGTTATGGCGCCTTAACTAGGCCGATTTCCGACCTGATAGCGCCAGATACGGGATACAAGGGGGGCCTCGAATTCACTTTATGAGGAAATCTCGGAAACAATTTTTATCGTGAACTGTGCTTTTAAGTTAAAGTTGTTTTGGCGATAAAGAAAAAGGATTAAGTCTTGGGGTGTTAATATCTTAATATCCCGTCGGAGGGATGCACCCACGTATTTGACTTAAGTTCAGAATCGTAGTGGCGTGTTGAATGCGTATATTCCCCCTATACCTCTTATACTGGCAATACTGTCACTATTCCTTTTACATTTTTAAAGGGTAGGTGTGAAGAGCAACAACCAATTTCTTAATGGCCAGGCTAGCTGGAATATGCCTCTAAGGATAACGTCTAAGTCCTGTAGGAATGGACTTACGTCGTTTACAACTCTTAGACATAGTCGTCTGGTGGCATACAATTGCCAGAAAACGACTGTTCTTCTCAATTTTTGTGAGAACTTTTGAAGGAGGATTTCTACGCATGCCAGTTGTCATCAAAACAATGATTTTTTTGTGAAATTGATTAAGCTTGGCTATGGTGTTTCTAAGGGAAGCTGTATAGAATTATTACGCCATGCTTTGATTTCGCGCTGGAAATAACAGCCAGGCATAAGAAGGCAGCGCTCTTGCGCTAGTGAACAACAGCTCGGATTTCATAAGTGCTTGTCGACGGAAACCTGTATTAGCGAATTTCAATACCGATTTTCCTTCCTTGTAGAACTCAATTGTTCGCGATCTACATTGTGCGAATATTTGTGATTGTTTTGGTAGTTGCCTTCAGGAGTGTTAATGGGGTTGATGTTGGCAAGGAATTTGAGATTCTAATGGAGGCAACCTAAATCTTTAAATGTGTAGGAGTCCGACCTTGTGTACTCGAACGGAACTCGTTCTAAGGCACTTAATTGTTCCGTTCGTTCTACATCGCATTAAATCGTCATTTTCTCTCATGCCCTGTTCAGTGCCGATTGCTCGTGCGTCTGTGTCATCTAATTCGTTACAAGTGATAGCCACTACAATTGTGTAGGCTGTCCCTGTCGTTTCCATTGTTGCTTGTTAACGTTCCCGGTGAAATAGATTTGATAGATCTAGTTCTAATTCTGCTAGATTCAAAGAGGCGGTCTCTTGAAGTCATTTCTGTAAAGAAGGACTTGGCATGGAGTGGAGACGACGAAAAAGGGATACCGTTGTTAACGGGAAGTTCCTGCAATAAGGATTATTCTAATGGGCAAATCGAATAAGAATAACTAAAGAATCACGGAAATGGCAAATTGCAAGTGTCATTCATTATTATTCATTATTGAAATCCGAGGTCAATGTGCTATGTCTCGTTGGACCCTTTTTGGATTCTTTTTTCAATTTCCAGTGGAATGTCTACTGCGAACAACGCTTCGCATCGAATACAAATGACTGTTAGGAATTAGGAAGGGTCTAGAAGTTATACCCACTGTACGAGAGCCTCTCGAAGATATAAGGAACAACGCTTGAATTTCTAGAACTAGTGGAATTGTTGCTCTTCTGCGTTCTTCGGTGCGCATCATTTTTTAATGGAAATTGCAAATTTAAGAACACGCTGGTGAGAGATTTCCTTCATTGTATACTTGTACTTGTATATGTAAGGGCATAATTCGAAAATATATGAAATTGAAGTTAAAATACTAGATTTTAGTTTTAATCTACCTCGTTCTGGTGTACAGCTTCGCATTCGATCTGTCTTTTTAATTGTAAGGGTCAGCCGGTCCTACCGAATGGAACTCCTCGCAGGATTCACAATCAGTTAATATTGATTCGGGCTTCGATCCGTGAACTGTACGTTTGCATGTTGTGCCCCTGGAAACAAGTATCACCTCACCTGTCGTCCCTTGATCATCGACTTCCCAATGCGCCAGTTACGTCTACACTCGTCCCTGTCACGAGCTGGAGTGGTCCAGAGAATAGTCCTCGCCTCAGGGACACGAGACCCAGCATACCTTTCACTCNGCCGGTCCTACCGAATGGAACTCCTCGCAGGATTCACAATCACTTTATATTAATTCGGGCTTCGATCCGTGAACTGTACGTTTGCATGTTGTGCCCCTGGAAACAAGTATCACCTCACCTGTCGTCCCTTGATCATCGACTTCCCAATGCGCCAGTTACGTCTCCTTCTCGTCCCTGTCACGAGCTAGAGTGGTCCAGAGAATAGTCCTCGCCTCAGGGACACGAGACCCAGCATACCTTTCACTCACAGCTTTCGTGAAGAAGTCTGACCATCTCGATGACAGCTGTCCTGGTGTTCGCTTGACATTCCGAGGGATCCAGTCAGTAATCGACCTGGTCCAACGGTCGTTACCATATCGCATAACGTGTCCGGCCCACCTGATCTTCGATTTCTTGGCGTAATCAGTGGCATCCNTTTTAAAGCGCGTTGAGTAACGCTGACAGCATGCTCATCCTACTTTCGTAGAGTCCAAGTCTCCGAGGCGTACGTCAACGTAGGAAGGACAGCAGTGTCGCAAATGTGAGCGCGGAGCGGGATACTATTTGTCTTCTTCACTACTCCCTCGGTACCCGGTACTGCCTATCAAACGCTCTTCACGCGGCGCGTTTCCTTCTGCTCAGATCCGGAACTAGATCGTTCATTAGTTGACTTCCTGACCTAGATACACATAGCTAGAGCATTTAGAGTGTTCAGCTTAGCGTAAAGGGAGAATCAGGTACCAATCCGTTTCTCATAAGCATCGTCTTCACTCGGCCAGCATTCGTTTCGCCTGCTCGATGTTTTCATGATGTCGTCTACAAAGCGGACATGATGTAGATAGCGGCCGTCGACCTTCATTCCCAATTCGTCTCATTCCACACGCTCGATACAAGACTTATATGTATTGGTCTAAAGGATAATCTCAAATCTGCTTCCCAAATCTGTCGAAATTTTCCGAATGGAGTAATGAAGATGAGTGAGCTCCCCATGGTCGACTGTGAAAGACATTGGTGTGCTTGCGATCTTTTCGGGCCCTTTGCCAGTGGAAAGTGTGATGCCTCACAGACTTGAGCCATCGGGTTAAGTTTTGCCTAAGGCGAAGTTTTTGCATTTCACCTGGTCTCCTACTTCTACTTTTGAGAAATCTTTTAAATAGTTTTATCGCATTCTAAGGAATTTTTGATGTTTGAGTTGCACAGCTTTTTACCTAAACAATCACATTCTCTACACTGTGAACCATAACCGGCATTCTCATTTGTTTGACGTCCCAAACTACACGAAGAAAATCTCGTATTGTTTAGTCAGTTCGGAATGTATGTATATTGGAGTTCAGCGTTCAAAAACACATACTACGGTTTATATCTCGTTTGAATGCGATGCCACCACGATCCAACATCCTTCCCTTACCAGCCTTAGCTTTTTTGTTATCTTACGACTCAATTTTGATAATAGTTCATAAATGGGAGACACGTTCGATTTCTAGTTGGTATACACATAGTATTGGTGCCGTACATATTGTCGATGTCAAAATCGCATGAAATCCAATTCCTATCAAACAAGACATTCTCAGTGTTGCTATGGAGTCATTTACCGATCCTTTCGTTCAAGCTCGTGTCAATGGAGTAGTTTTATTGGATCCAGTGGACTATGCGGTTTGTCATTTGTTTATTCGGGGATAGAGAATTTTTTCTTTCAGTGCCCAATTTCTTGGACCTTACTTTGAATATTTCACTTTTATTATTATGTTATGTTATTATTTTTGATGACAGTAACATTTTTATTATTATTTTACCTTTGTCTGGTGTCAAACGGTCTGATGCAGTGACTGATCGAATTTGTAAAAACACGCACGAACAAATATTCTTATATCGAAGTGCATAAAATGAGTTGAGGTTCTGCGTAAATGATCCGTTACTGCTTGACTTTGGTCATCTCGTATGATACCATTAATCGTCGGAATCGAAGGTGGTGATCAGATCCACCGATCGCTGTAGATGCCTTTCCCGTGGTTCGCGGGAAGAACACGTGGTTAAGCTGGCCTTGCTTCTGTGACGGCGCGGTGATGATTCGACAAGCCTCAGTTGTGGCAAGAGCTGAAAATAGCCTCTCTTCCGTGCCGTATTGATTTGCGAAAGAATCGAAAATTTTTGATCGTACGATACTGCCACCCATCGAAGGAGCCTGCATTCCACCGGGACAATGTAGGCATCCACGCTCACAGGTTAACTTCTGTGTGATATCAACAGCACCGATGAAGAACTTAAAGCCGATTCCATTTCTAATCAACATCCACTGATTAACATTTGTCCGAAGGATTGCCGATAATTGTAGATGGGCTCACAATCGACGAACTGTGATTCGAGGGTTTGAAACACAGAGAATCGTTGTTTTTGCAATCTAATAACCTCTCATCAAGTATACCCCATCAGCTCATGCAGCTAACTTTCAAACTATGAGCACCACATAACCGCTGATTTCTACCAGAAACTTTTTTAAATCTGTAAATGAACTATTATAAGGTGAGTCTCAGGTACTTACCTTTTCACGATAACCTATAATCTAAAACTTTTTTATCTCTTTCCCTAGAACAGCATCAGTGTTATAAAATGATTCTTACAATAGTGAATGAGCTACAAAGGTCAACGTTTAAAATGACAAAGGTCAACGTTTAAAATGTTTTTGGTATAATGAGAGGAGTGAAACACATTGTATCTCCATCGTACTGTTTCTAGAACTTTGGCTTTTTTTTTGTAAGCCCATTCTTCCATGAGGTCATTCTTCCTCCGCGCAGTCGGGTGTTTTACTATGAGATCCCACCAGAATATACTGCAGTCATCGCAAGGGTATTCTATTAGCAACTGAAAAAGGTCGTGTTTCGAGCCCCCATTTCACACCGATTACTAGGAAAATTTTGATTGTGATGGGTAATGCTGACCATCACACGCGAGGATGTCGATGGATGAGCTGGAAATATTTGGTATAACCTGACACTCACACTCCCCACATATCAACCTAACCTCAACCCATACAGCTGTCCAACTTTCAGAATCCTTCAGGCCTGCTCTGAAGGGTAAAATTCAACAATCATCAGGAAGTCAAAGAGGTAGTAGATGGATATATTGTGTGGCCCTCTCTACTATTCGGAAGAATGGCATCAGTGCACTGTCCGGTCGATGGAGGGACATTCTGGCTGAGAAGGCCCATCACCTTGAACACTGATCTGACGTTACTACTGTAGCTGTTTTGTGTTGAAAAAACCGGCTGAATTTTTCGAAGCTTCCCGAATACCCTAATATGATCCGGAAAGTTTTTATCATGTACAAAAAGTTGTTCATATTCGTTTCTGAGACATTCCTATATTCGTCGGAAATCAATGAAAAACTTGTTTCTGTTTGAGAACGACTAATCCTGTTATAGATCTTTCTAAATCAAACAACAAATTACCGGTGTAAAAATCGATCATGATTTGTCATGATGAGCTTTATTGTCATGAATTGCAAGCACAAGATCTTTTTTGTCGTCTCGCTCATGTAAACGGTTTTTGTTCTCATGGGAATATCTCGGATTTGGAATGAATATGGTCCAGACATCTTTACATACCGATTGAATCAATAAAACAAGACTCGATAGCCATCTCTGTAAAAGTTTGCCTCGACCTTACCATACATTGAAATGTCCTTGCCCTTTTTTTTTGAGTGTGAACTTCTTATACATTAGTTTGTGCATCATTGTGCAGTGTACTACCTTTCCAGAATTTTTTGTTTCTAAAACTCGGCCCAAAATTCTTTCAACACGTGAGAGAACCCAATATTTTCTAGTTACCGACGCATAATTTCCAAAACAGCTTCGGCTAGCTGAGTGGCTTTCTCGAAAATAATTTTCAGAATATGGTTAATAAATGCATGTGTTTTTATATATTGCTTCCTGGCCTGGTGAGGTCTGTGAATGATAGGCTTAACTATCCGTGGTGAGCAGCAATTTCTTACAATTAGAAGCTCATTAATTTAGGTGTTATTTCAACTGTTACCTACAGTAAGTCCGCAGTCACCAATACTCTATGTATTCATGTTTCTTGGAAGTTAGA